CTTCCATTTTATACACACGACACTTTGCACAAAATGGACCTTATAGACGTCAAGCGCATTTTTTAAAAGCTTTTTAGTTTTGATTAAATATAACTGAAGAAGCCGATCATTTGAAATTTTCTTGTTTTCTTGCAAGAAAAAAAAAAGTCACGTAATCAGTTAAAATTCCTATGATAGCTCGTGGAAACGATTCAATGAAATTGACACTGAAGGCTTGAATCTCTTCTTATCAATTGTACCTTTAACAAGGATGTTCTTTCAACTAACTGGAATGGAGCTGGATCAATCTGACAGCTATTAAAATCAATTGGCATCTGAAGAATTTCTCGTTCCCATTGGGCTTGCTGTGGAATGCAATGAATTTAAATATCAACAACAGARCAAKCATGTTTATTCCTTTGCAAATATCGCATACTGAGTATGTCTAAAGGAGCATAGTCAGTCAGCATCCTTTACGAGTTGTTGTTTAAGTGGAAAAACATCGTTATAACATAGTAAGACTGGTTAMAGTCCCCTCTAYTAACTATGGTTATAATAAGTGCTTACGACATAAGMCGAGATGAATTGAAAACAATAGAAAAAAYAAAGGAATGGAAACGAGACCTAAAGGCACTGCAGTAGTAAARAAGCAAATATCTAGGTATTTCTTTCAATTGAATTTATAAGAAAAATTGCTTATTTGCAGTAAAAGAACATTGTCTTCCTCTTGCTAAATTCAATAAGAATATTTCCAAATTCCTAAGCTTCGTCTGGTTTATTTTGTAAGCATGTATTGACTATTCTAAAAATTCCAGTGCAAGCGAGCTCAGCCTCGAATTTATGTGTAAATTCATTGTTTATTCTATTGTTTTCTATCTTAGGAAAGAGACTTTTCCCGCTATATTGAAATTCAAGAGTATCGTCAATAGCAAACTCTTGCTATCCTGTACTAATTGACGCATTTGAAGATTAAAAAAAACGACTGTAATATTTGAGGTCTGTCACCTAAATTTCAATATCTAGAGTATGATCGCATTCGATGCTGGCCATGAACAACGAGTTATATAACGAGAAAAGCATAATTTACCATTAAGATTATAATTTTTTATGAAATTTGTTTTTATTTCTTTTAGCGCATAAAGTGAAATACTAAATATTCTCATAGCGAATACCTGGTCTGCCGTCACCTGTTCATCGTCTGGTTTACTCTCTGATATCTTCTGCGAAAAGAAATGATAATGTCATTTATCATATAATTCTCTATGAAATACCTATATTTCTTTCATTTGAAAAGTTGTTATCTTCACTAGTAAAACTAACACATTCGAGGTTTTTCTATATATTGGAAGAAAAAAAGGTAGTTTACGACATAATACGAATTTTATCTTCTCGTGTTGAAAATTTCTTACTCGATAATTATTCGTAGCAATTAATAGCCGCGAAACTAAATAAAATGGCGGTAGTTGACGACGCAACTCCAAGAAAACTATGATAATAAATAAGCGTATCGAAATTACAGTACTCATGGATGTAAAGTTATATGTGCATTCGGAGTCCGAAGATGAACGATACTTACTTCAACGTCATTAATACTCAGGCCACTACCAAACAGTTTGTGCAGACGGTGGGGGACTGGGATCTTTTCCAAGATGGACGTCTTGTTAGCTTTTGTATCGGACTTCTAAATAATAAAAAACAGTCAAATATAATACAAAACTTTGACGATAATTCTGAGCAATACTCGTGTGGGTCATGATCAATAGAGAATGTACAATTYATCAAAGCTAACCACATGGTGGGAAATCTGTCAGCCCTAAATTTAAGAATTATAAAATTTTTGATATATAACGCGCGCTCTGATTGGCTGACGGCCGTGTTTATATCAGAGGACAGAGACACGGCTTACMGGCAAAATTTTCTTTTCGCTCGAAAAATTCTATAAAAGAAATATAAAACGGCCGCTTGTGTCTCTGAGAAATAAATATAAAACGACGCGCGTGTCTCTGTCCTCTGATATAAACACGGTTGGAGTTCGAAAAACACGAGAGAAGCAAGCTTCTCGAGTGTTTCATCAACTCCCACCGTGTTTATATCAGAGGATAGAGACACAAGCGGCCGTTTTATATTTCTTTTATAAAATGTTTCGAGCGAAAAGAAAATTTTGCCGGTAAGCCGTGTCTCTGTCCTCTGATATAAACACGGTCGTCAGATAATCAGAGCGCGTGATATATATCAAAAATTTTATTAAGATAGATAGATTAAGGTAACATTTGCCGAATGAAAAATGCAAAGAGTTTGTTTTGTTTTGTTCAACAAGATGGCTTTTAAACAGCACATGACACCATTCGAAATTCATTCTCATCCAAAAGAGAAAATACTTCTAAGTACATATCGGTGAAGAAAGAAATTGTTTTTTCTAAGTTATGGGAAATTGAAACTTTACTAATGAATAATTTAAYATACAAAATCATGAAAGAGGACGTCATTTTTTTGTTACATCGGAAAAAGCATTTACWGCTCTCAATTATTACTRTRATTGATGMTTTGAGCTCTTCAACCAAGAACATAACATAAACAATGTAAAAGGTCTGGATCAATTCCTTAGTTGACGTCACTTCATTTGCATTTTCAATTTTCAAGWGTCTATAACTCATAAAATTCAATTCAAAATCTATTGCTTTCTCTTCACAGAAGTGCTTGGCAGGCTGTTACCTTTCATATAAAAGAGTGATTTTCTAAAAGGTGTGTCATGTGCACTTTAATAAGATGAGCAACTGTAAGCCTTGTTACCTGTACAGAGACTTGTGCCTCTACTTCTAGTACAGCTGGGCTCGMCTTGTCATGTTCATTACTGAAAGAGAATTCATATGTGCCATGATTAGAGTAATTTAAATAAAATGTGAAACAAACTTTATGACTGTCTATTTTGAACATGTTTCTTTCCAAGGGTTAATAACAACCACTCTAGCATAACGTAGGACTATTCCTCTGTAAGTACTCCTTTTACAGGTGGCGCATTAGATACTAGTGAAAAATTATACTCTGGTATTAACGTACATGTTGTTTTGCMGAGCAGATTTMAAGACCTTTTACTAATACGGCCSAACACAGATTATTACAAAAAAAATTTCTAAGTTCAATGATCATTTCGGAATTCAAAACTTAAATTAATTCTTGAACRACCAAATGTGGTATYTTTTTWRATKGTTTTTYAMATTTTAAGCCATGATGTTTAATCTTATGTTTAATCTACGATTAAAGACATCCTGTAGTTTCTTACTGAATCGATGGAAGTCATTGTCGTCGAACGTTTTACTAAAAAAAAATCCCATATAAAGTTACTTTTACGTTTTCTTTGTCGGAAAGGAACGATTGCTTCCATTTTCCCACGAAAAAGCTTATGAGGACTGTTTCAGCGTAAATAAAAAAAATACTTGGACTATAACTCCCATCATGCTTTGCTGTAAAAAATGGCGTCGCTGCTCATTGCCTATTGGCCATTCTGAGCGTCAAAAGGAGGCTGGGAACGAGTGTGAAAATATTTCATTCATCGAAAACTGAACCTCACCACATGAAAGACCACACTAAAATAAGTGTTCTTGTCAAGTTTGAGCATATTTGGTTGAATACTCACCTAGTATTCAAATTTTTGTAAAAATAAGAGAGAATGTATGGTTTTTGGGGACGCTGCTCAAAACCTCAATACATTCTTTGTTTCATTCGAGTTTTAAACGCTTGAAACTCTGTAATCATTAATCCGAATACACTCAAACTCAGCAGCTTTACTAATTTTAGTGTACTCTTTCTTGTCCTGGTGTCTGTTTTTTGATTGCTTCAAATGGGATCGAGTTTGTGACTAGTCACCAGTGCCTTTTTGAATTTCGGAACGGGCARTTTACTTACACTAGAGCTGATACGGAATCAGGTGAGTCGGGTCTACTGCACATCGCATCCTCGCTTTCAGCTCTACTGCTCGCTTGTAAAGACTTGTTGAGATGTTGGTTGAGTATAGACAATAGCTGAGGTCTTTGTATTGAACCAAGTAGAATCATAGAATCTGTCAAATATGGAAAGTTATCAGCTTTGTTATGGTAAGCCCGACGCACACGAAAGGAAAGTGCATAAGGGAAATGCCACGCGAGTCGCTTTGAGGAGCGTGTGTGCACCAAGTTTTGCTGTTCACGGTGAGAGAAACGCTAATCAAAGCGCCTCGCGTGACATTTCCCTTATGCACTTTCCTATCGTGTGCCGCGAGCTTTACGTGACCACGCGAAATTTTAAAGGTTCATAGTCAACCGGCATTCATCGCGGTCATGCTTTTGCTTTTCCATATACACTTAAAATGAGGTGAYGTCAAAAATCCATTCAAAATCTTTTTCCATAAGTCGGTTTAAAGGTATCAGAGAGTTTAAGCATCACGTTTACGGCAAACGGCTAATGACAGAGCTGAACTTTGCTGAGCTGCTTTAGGTAGTCATTGCAAAGAGCAACTTTTAATGATTATGGCAAACTCAAAATAGCCCGCTTTCGCGTTGAAACTGTAACGGTAAACCTCTAAAAAGAAGGTCACATGATCTTTTCTGCCATTTGTAGTTTGCCGTGAACGTCATGCTTAAGCTCTCTAATCCTCCTTCGCATTGTATACTCATAGTCTTAAACACAGAATCCTAGGTGCTGAATCCAATACCAATTACCAATGGCATAATGACATCAAATTATGTTTACATTGTGGATAGATGCTCAGAAAGACTCGAAATTTGGACCTACTAACATTCTTTCCGAAAGTAGAACTTTAGTGTATCGAGTTTTGATGTAAATCATTTATCAATGATAGCTCATCTACAATTTGTTTAATATGCAGTCACTCTGATCTCCACTGGCGACCATAATCCTTAGCGTTAAAACATAGCATGCTTTGGTGTGACGTAATTACTTCATCCTTTAYTTTGTGATGAGCATTATCTTATTGGCATTGAAGTCGGAACCTGAGAGATTCAGCGTTTGAAAACTAAGCCAACGATACCTGGAGCATCAACCAATGGATAAGAGCGATGTTCAGACTTGTCCAACAGGTCTTTTAGCTCAGCATAAGTAGAGCGATAGGTAATGTAGTAYAGGTTAGTCTTCATGATGTCTGACACCATTATAGTATAAGCCCTAATTGAAATCATAAATACGTTTAAATACAAAGCATTCAAACATCAATAACTGCAAKAGTTTCCTTCGAAACGCAGGCMACCWGTGGATTGTTTTGCCGTTTTGGTTGTTTTGTTTAGTTTTTCTCTAGATTGTTACACTTACTGTAATAATCAATAAGTCATTTACAACTTTGCAAAAATAAGTTAAAGGATATTAAGAAACTGTTTTTTTTAATGTACCTATTATAGTTTGTGGATGTTTGCAATATTATTGCATTGCTGTTTATTAAAAATCTTTAAAAAACCAGTGGATTTATAATCCTTACTGGGATTCCTTGTAACAGCTTTATTCGAATTACAGTAAAAACCTGCATATAAGAACTCCTATTTTGGCCTTTCAGGCTGATTTGGTTCTTATATAAAGGGTTATAATCTGCGAAATCAGCCTCTAAGTGTTTTTAAGTGTTCTTAAAAAAAGTTTCTTAAAAAAAGGAACATGACTTGGTTGCCAATAGGTTAAACCAATATACATGCGAACAATTTTAATTAATCAATACAATGATGTAACTATTTTGATTAAAAAAAATTGATAAATGAATGTGTGCAATGAAAAGTAGTGTTGATATTTGATATGTTTCCATATAAGAACAATTTTCATTTTTCAGGCTGAATGTGTTCTTATACAAATGGTACTTTATTTCCTAAAATCAGGCCTGGGTGTTCTTAATCCACTGTTCTTGTATGCGGGTTTTTACTTTATGTCAAAATGAGGTAATTTCCCATAATATAATGGAATGTTGGAACATTGCGCGAGYCTGCAGTATTTTTGCACTTAGGTAACATACCCTGTTTTGGTAAGGTCTGGCAGGTACGGCAGCGACTTGATTTGAATAATACTGTCRTAGAATGACGGTTGTAGCCATTGAGCAATGGCATTAGCTATGAGAACAGCGACCTGGGAACAAATAAGATAGTTAATCAATATACCTAACTTCTGGTTCAGGCGTCGATTTTTTTGCCGAATCTTAAGGTACTATATACACGGTACGATTGTCGCTGCAACTTGTTGTATACGACTCAAATCAACTCCAAATTTTGTTGTGAAAATGCCCCTACGACTTGCCTACAACAGTCATACGCAACCTACGACTTGTAGTAGTACCTAAGGCCCGGTTCATACGTCGAGCCAGCGTCGTTCCGAACCAATAGTTTGAGGTAAGCACATGAATAGCTTGACGTATGAATCATACGTCGAGCTTCCGTCGTGCCGACCTTAATGCACAAAAATATCTGTCTTCGACAATAATAATGGATGTAAATTTCGTGTTATCAGACCTTCTCTTATGCTTTTGACTGTATTTGGTTCGACGAATGAATCAACGCCGTACCAAGTGTATTTGGGTCGACACCAATTGAGTATTTGGTTCGGCGCGACGATAGCACGACGTATGAACCGAGCCTAAGGCTTGTCGTAGGAAAATACCATTACTACAAGTCGCACGCGACAATCGCACTGTGTAAATAGGCCTTTATATGTGTTGAATCCAATGTTGCGTCTAATCAAATCGCTTGCATGTCGTTCACGCAAAGTTTGCAGTCACAGCCCCTTGCTTTTGAGTTCTAATTTGTCACAGCTTTTTACTATTTTATCATTTTTTTCACATGTTCTACGTAGTTTTATCATTTCTGGTCATAATGTGTTCATGCAGATTTTGTTCAAGAGCCGCGTCCCCCCAGTAATAACAAAATGAAACACAGAATGAGACTGTTTTCCTAGTTCGCAATGCATCATGTAATGCGCATGCGTAGTCGTACCATGACAGGCAATATATGTACAATCTGTCCAGTAAGTTCAAATACGATCACAGACGTTGATATGGTATGCGTCACTGCTCCGGACATAGCAGCTGCACCTATAAACACAATTAATCATATAAAAATTGTAAATATTTGCATGGTTCCTTCTGTAGGTACCGGAGCACAGATTACGTAATTTGAGTTTCGCGATCTCTTTTGCGCTGTGTTAGCCTCAATTGTGTGCTAAAATATTCAGAAATGTAAATAAAACTCGTGAGATTTCAAACTATTTCCATTGTCTTCTATACTCATAGATCTCTTGCATTTGCACGGGCTGTTGTGAATAAAAGAATTTATTACATGGTTTAAGGCTAACACAGCGTAAAAGAGATCGCTAAAAGGGTTTATTCAATAGAAACAAAGCCTTAGAACAATGAAGCAGTAGAAACTATACTAAAATACCCCGAAATACAAACAAACCTCAGCAGAATACAATAGACACGCAAGATAGGCCCTTTTGTTTTACCCAGCAAATGCTTTTAAAGCAATTGGTCACAAGCTTCGACCCCCGTCAGTGCCTCGTTATCAAAGATGAATATTTTGGAACGCAGCCTCGGTTTCATGCATATGCTGGATACGACACTGATAGAGTTAAGGCAAATAATTCAGATTTGTCTTTAGGGTATGGTCAGCCATTGGACTTTAAACAGTGTGAATGCAGTTTTGGTTACGCAACCAGAGGTCGCATAGTGCGAGACAGAACCTAACATGGCTGCGGAGAAAATGAATGGGTGCCGATTTCATTTGCGGTTCCAAGATAAATATCTTACCTACAACGGCATATCCTCCAGGAACTACTAAACTAACAATATCACCGTCTCGAATACCGTCAGGGAACCAAGTCGCCATTGCTTCTCCCACTAAACGGCCAAATGCAGCACCTAGTAGAAATATGATTTATCATATTATTTTCTATGAAATAATATAATGATTATAATAATATGTGGTATTTATATAGCGCCGATATCCTCTGAGTTCACAGGCGCTTCACATGTATAGATCATTTCACACGGACCGCTGTTTAAGGCGCAATTGGCAGCCCCGCGGCTTACAATCAGAACTATGTTTTTTTGATTTCGTAAAGTTTCACTAGTAAAAATAATACATCCGAGGTTTCTCTATATAGTGGAAGTAAGAAAAAAGGTATTTTACGACATAATATGCTTCCATATGCAATTATACGCTCACTCATGAAAGATCTTTTCAACACTCGAAGATAAAATCCGTATTTCCGCGCGCTCATGTAATATCTTCTATCTATAATGCATTAAGAGTTTCTTGTTTCCTATAATAGCATCGAGGAAAAGTACAAAAGAACGAGAGAACAAACTGATTTGCTAACAAGTTGATTCCCGGGCAG